AAGCATATAGCAAGTGTTCCTTAGGAGCTTGTGTTCATGTGCAGATCCTATCTACTTTACAGGTGTCACACCTTAAAAGGGAAGCCACTATATTTTAATGCAGTCTGATTATAGTGTGCTTTAGAAACAATTGGCATAGAATTGAGGATTTGGAACTTTTTTTGGTTGTGAAAGCAATTTCTGTTTATAGCAGTGTTTACTGTGTTGAAATTTAAAATGTAGTTTGTTTATTAATTCTTTATCATTGCAAATTGGTTTGTTTAAATTAGTTTTGTGTGTGTGGTCCTGTTTTCTGAACCCAAGGCCTTGCACATGCTACACAAGTGCTTTACCACTGACCACACCCCCAGTTCCAAATTATCTTGAAAGTGCACTGAATTGTGCATTTATTCTGCTTAATAGGTATTTTCTACTTTATTGTCTTAAGTATATTTGTGATCATGGATAATGTGAAAAAAAAACATATTGGCATTGATTTCCTTATTTATAAAGGCTACTGTAGACCTGATTATGAAAATATCTAATATTGGTCTAAATATGATTCATTTAGAGTGATTGATATCTGTGAGATTTCTTGCTGAAAGGAAATGCAGTATGTAGAATAATTAATCAAATAATTGGTTGAAATCAATAAAGTAATTGAGATGAATAATCACAATTACTCATTATCTCAGAAACCTCAACAAACTGTCTCAAAACACATTTACATATGACTTAATAACCCTTGGTTATTATCTTAACTTATTTATTATATTATTATTTAGATAATATCTGGCTTTGTTAATTATGATTTTTCATGTTCAAAACTTATAAAGTGGAGTTCTGATAATCCTAAACTATCTTGGCGATCTAGTCTGATTTTGAAAGGCTGGGTGGATTTATTTCCTGCCCTGGTTAACTTTATTTAGCCAGAGCTGTGGGATAGAGTAGAGAAATTATTGCTAATCTCACTTCACCTTCAGAACAGGTCAGAACTCCTCCAGAGGAAACATTGCTATGGCCATGTAGGGTTAGGTAAATATGCCGTGCAAAAATAAAGCAAGATTATGTCAATGAGAACCCAGGATGCTTCTGTCCTAGCGCCAGTTTAGTTAAGGAAGACTTTCTGGTGGTAATCTTCCAACTCTCTGCTTCTTCTCAGAATTCTATCTGTTATAGTCTGAAGAAATAATTCTACTTATCTAGCTATAGACTATTTCATTATAAAACATTATAAATAGAATTTATGTGATATCCATTTTAAAGTATTTTCAGTTAACCTCTCTGTGGGTTACATTATTTGAGGAATGTCCAGGTGAAGACAAAATTGGGATTAGAATGTCAATTATTAAATAAAAAGTGGGTAAATAAATACATGAATGTTTGCAGAGTTGGTTCTACCAATGAATGTTTTCTTTTATTTGTGGAGTTTGTGTTGACCTGGAGAGTGGGTCTTGTTCCCAGAAAGACCCTGAGGAAATCTCTTTTAGCTTTTGTAGCTGTCTTTTGGAGGGTAGTTCTGAAAGTTTGCATCTCGTGAAATTGATGGAGTTTTAGTTAGAGAAAAATATGTGGTCCTCCTCTTCTTAACCCTTGGCTATTTTTAACCTTCTACATTATACTTATGTTCTTGAAAGTTCCTTTTCAAGTGAATCCTTCATACATTTCTCCTGCCCTGTTTTCATACATTTCTAACATCCAGTTGTTTGAGTGCCTGGCTCTGGCTGGGGTGCACATGACTGACTTAAGTTAAATGCTTGGAAGAGCATTGCTTTGTGCTTCTAGGTAGATTACATTCTCATATATTTCAGTAACCATTTAATGCTATTTAACCTTCCAAAGGGCTTACAGGTGACAGAGGTAATCATCAGCAAAACCAAGTCTCCCAGCTGTGCAGTAAGAGTAAAACTGTCGTGGAACTTCACGTCATCATTTGATGCTACATCAGGGTGCTGTGCCAACATTTGGATTTTAAAGTAGTGAGTGCATCTATGGAGGAGAGTGATCATTTGAGTCTTAAGTTTCCCATGAAAACTTTGCTGTACAGTCTTATACATAATTTTAGGTGTCCCAGATTAAAGTTTGTAAAACAGGGCATTGAACAAAACCATCACTACATTCTGATTCTTTGTGTTCTCCTGGCTGCTTTGCCACTCACTCAAGGTGAACTCACGCATTTGCACGTTTACCTATGTCTTGCCTACTATTCTATTTTACATTGGTTTCATTCCATGTAATAGACTGCAAAGGATACACAAGAAATAGTAAGATGATCTTTCTTTTTTAGGAGTTCTTAGGGTATCTGGCCAAGTAAATATGCCACCAAATGTTAAATAAAACAAAATAATGTATGCTGATTGCCTTTTCTTTGATCATTTTCTGGTTGTTGATTTTCTTCTTAACTGTTGATGATGTGCATATGTGGAAGGGTTTTCCACATATTGGAAGTTGCATTCCAGCCTGGACCTGGGATCACTGGTAGTGCTCTTAAGGAGAGCCTCCCAGAAGAACTTAGCGTCATGGCTGGGCCAGTTCCGCAGTGCTGCTCTTTTATTCCATTCATCATTGTTCCGGGGTTGAAAAAACATCACCTGATATGATGTAAGGAGGCAAATATGTTTCCTGCTCATAGTATCCAAACTTCCTGATGCTGGAGAATACTTTTGTGAAGCTTATAAAACTACTTATGCATGCCAATGCACTTCAGTCTTTCTGCTTTCTCTTGAATATGGAACAAGCAAGCAACTGAAGCCAGCAGCATCAGGATGTGAGGGTTGAAGCTGCCTTGTGATTTTAGGTGTGGTCCTCTGAATACCATGTTTAGGAACTGCTACAGGAAATTCAAGGCCAGGTTCTCCTTGGCAATAGAGAGTAAATGGAGAACAAATTGTATCACTGAGTTTCT